TAATCAAATGAAGGGAAATAAACATTGGTTATAGAACAATGGAAGATGGTGGAGTTTAGATATGGATCAGCCATTACCTATTTGAATTACAGTGAAACAATTCTGAAAGGCTGAATGGCTTTCTTCTGTTTCTATGTAAACTTCGATTGCTTTAGAACCAAAGGTAGAACTTATGCCATCAACATGTTTAAACACTCACGTTAAAGAATGAAAGTGAAATTACAGGTATGTTTCTTAGATAGAATAAAGAACTTCATTCTGCAGCTGACCTATGCTTTACCCATGGTGCAAGTGCTTTAAACCAACAGTAGTTAATCAAAAATGAAAATGTCCTTTTCCACAGCATTAAAACAATGTCCAAGATCAAGGAAGCAGACTATCCATTAAAAGCATTCGTGCTGGAAGTTCTGTATGGTCCTGTTTAAAAATAAGCCTGGAATCAATCCTTTCTGGAATCAATGTTTTGCCCTTCTGATTTTACCTAGGCAATTACTATGATTCAAGCATCAGCACGGGGACATTTCGCACGGAAGAACCTTGAGAGCACATATTCTGTAAGTATAAAGAAAACGTCCATTGCCTCCCCTCAGCAGAACAAGGTAGTTACCAACGTCTTCCAAGAATTTGGAGATCTTACTACCTTAATTATATCTAGTTATCTGAGGAGAATATTCCTCTTTCAGTAAAGCGTTTGATAAGGTTCCCCATGGTAGGCTATTGCAGAAAATACAGAGGCATGGGATTGAAGGTGATTTACCGGTTTGGATCAGAAATTGGCTGGCTGTAAGAAGACAGAGGGTGGTGGTTGATGGGAAATGTTCATCCTGGAGTTCAGTTACTAGTGGTGTACCTCAAGGATCTGTTTTGGGGCCACTGCTGTTTGTCATTTTTATAAATGACCTGGATGAGGGCGTAGAAGGATGGGTTAGTAAATTTGCGGATGACACCAAAGTCGGTGGAGTTGTGGATAGTGCGGAAGGATGTTGCAGGTTACAGAGGGACATAGATAAGCTGCAGAGCTGGGCTGAGAGGTGGCAAATGGAGTTTAATGCGGAAAAGTGTGAGGTGCTTCACTTTGGAAGGAGTAACAGGAATACAGAGTACTGGGCTAATGGTAAGATTCTTGGTAGTGTGGATGAGCAGAAAGATCTCGGTGTCCGTGTGCATAGAGCACTGAAAGTTGCCACCCAGGTTGATAGCATTGTTAAGAAGGCGTACAGTATGTTAGGTTTTATTGGTAGAGGGATTGAGTTTCAGAGCCATGAGGTCATGTTGCAGCTGTACAAAACTCCGGTGCGGCCGCAGTTGGAGTATTGCGTACAGTTCTGGTCACCGCATTATAGGAAGGATGTGGAAGCATTGGAAAGGGTGCAGAGGAGATTTACCAGGATGTTGCCTGGTATGGAGGGAAGGTCTTATGAGGAAAGGCTGAGGGTCTTGAGGCTGTTTTCGTTAGAGAGAAGAAGGTTAAGAGGTGACTTGATAGAGACATACAAGATGATCAGAGGATTAGATAGGGTGGACAGTGGGAGCCTTTTTCCTCGGATGGTGATGGCTAGCACGAGGGGACATAGCTTTAAATTGAGGGGTGATAGATATAGGACAGATGTCAGAGGTAGGTTCTTTACTCAGAGAGTAGTAAGGGCGTGGAATGCCCTGCCTGCAAAAATAGTAGACTCGCCCACTTTAAGGGCATTTAAATGGTCATTGGATAAACATATGGATGATAATGGAATAGTTTAGTTTAGATGGGCTTCAGATTGGTTTCACAGGTCGGCGCAACATCGAGGGCCGAAGGGCCTGTACTGTGCTGTAATGTTCTATGTTCTATGTTCTATTGTCATCGTTACAGACCTATTCAAAAATATAAAATCTAAAGAAATTAACACTGACTTTGTTCGCTAAGTTCCAATGAAAAATGAGTTGTAATCTCAATTCAGGGTGATCCGATGCTCTCTGATGTGCAGCTGCTGCTGTTATACAGGCAAATGGATCTGCCAATTTGTGCACAACAATGTCCCATACACACCAAGCGAATGAATGACCAGATAAACTAGTTATTGATGGTACTTATCAGGAGAACGTCATCTTGGAATAAAGTGATGTAATGTTTTTGTCCACCTGCTGCTAGATTCTGCCCTTAAGACCTGAGTGGGATTGAACTCACTACCTTCTGCCTCTGAGGCAAGAGTGCTATTAATAAAACAAAGCTTAGGCTTTCGTATTAGATTCTATGCTGTTTTGGACCAAAATGGATAAGTTGCTTACTTGAATGACACAAAACTTGGCATCATTGTAAACAGTGAGGAGGACAATGTGGAACTCCAGAAGAACATAGACAAGTTGGTGAAGTGAGCAGATAGGTGGCAGATGACTTTCAATGTAGAACCGTGTGATGTGATGCATTTTGGTAGGAAGAACATTGAAAGACAGTATAAAATAGGGGTGCAGGAGCAATGGGACCTAGGTGTATGTTTGCACAAATCATTGAAAGTGGCAGGACAGGTAGAGAGAGTGGTAAGTAACGCATAAAGTATCCTTGGCTTTATTGATAGGGCATAGAGTACAACAGCAAGAGGGTGATGTTGAACTTTTTAAGGCACTTGTTGGACTTGAGCTGGAGGATTTATACACTTCTGTGTGCCACATTACTGGAAGGATTGGATTGGAGACAGTGTAGAAGCAGTTTACAAGAATGCTTCCAGGAATAAGGAACTTCAGTTATGAGGATAAATTGAAGAAGTTGAGACTGTTCTTCTTGGGGAGAATAAGGCTAAGAGGAAATTTGTCCAATGTTTTCAATGCCACGAATGTACTGGATAGAGTAGATAGGGAGAAATTGTTCCCATTTGTAAAAGGAACAAGAATAAGATGACAGATTTAAATTGATCTGCAAAAGAAGCAAGGTTGAATTGAGGAAAAGCTTTTTCACTCAGCAAGGAGTTAGGGTGTGGGATGCACTGCCTAGAAGTGTGGTAGAGGCAGATTCAATTGAGGAATTCAAGAGGGCATTGGGTGATTATTTGAAAAAACAAATCCACAAGGATATGGGGAAAAAGCAGGAGATTGGTATTAGGTAATGATGCTAGTATAATGAGCCAGTGCAGGCAGAATAGGCCAAATGGCATCGTTTGGCACCATAACACTTCTGTGATTCTTTGAAAGTCCTAACCTTAACATTAGATATTGCAAAAATATTTCCACACGTGTGGGAGACCAAAACTATTGGCCATAATTATAATAGTCACAAATAAATTCCATAGAAAATTCAAAAAAAATTTATTTACCAAAGAGTTGCAAGAAATTGGAACCTGTTACAATAATAAGTAGTTGAGGCAAATAGCACAGGTGCATTTAAAGGGAAGCTTTATAACAGCATGAGTTAAAAAAGGAAGAAGGGTATGCAGATATTTGAAGTACTGTAGAAAGAAATTTTTGGGGAGCATAAAAGCCAGCCTGGGCTGGAAAGGCCTGTTTCTATGCTGTAAACGTTATGTAATTTGTGAACTCTGTATTTTACACATGTTTTTATATTGGTGTTATAATTTATTCCAGAATTCTCAAGTTTCTCACAGCAATATCATTCAGAACCAATTCTCAGAAGAAGATGAGAGGAATGAGGCTGTTTCTGTCATCCAGTCCTCCTTCAGGGCTCATCTGACTCGGATGCAGTACCTCAGAGAGAAGTAAGAGCTAGGATTTGTTTAAACTTAATCTGTTATGTTGTCAAGAATATAGTCGCCCTATTCTATTCTCTCCATTGTCATCTATTGTCACCTGTTATTCCCTACAACTAAGATTTTTTTTACCAGATCAAAAGATTTGTGTGGGCACCTGGAAAGACCTGCCTCATCTTTTTTATCATGTTCTTGGTACACAATCTTACAGTGCAGCTGGACATTGGCCCAGAGGTATATGTCTACTTCTAGGTCCACTGAACTTTCTTGCCCAACACAGAGGTCTGATTGCGGAGACGTGAAGCCATGGAGAATAGTTCTTCTTTTACAGTTTATTTATGTAAATAAATATAGTTAGAATGGCTGAAAGAGAAAGGCAGGCAGGATGAGACTGGTATCAGAACTGTTCACGCCTGAAACAAGCAAAATCCAGTTGCATGTGATATTTGTTAGAGAGAAATAAGAGGAAGGAGATTTGTAAAGCATTGACACTCATGGAATGCAAATCACTGGACACTTATGAAATAGGATAATGTTGTGATCATGTTAGTCCTACAGCTCTGTGTTTAAAAAGAAGATGGATTTGTTATTAGAGTGAACTTGATTATTATTGGTAAACAGCGGATTTAGAAGGGGAAGATCCCAAGCTCCTGCACATGGCAAACTCCACAATACTGTATCCTTTGACTTCCAAACACCATTTGACAAATTTCCATACATAAAGCCTTTTTGGTTAAGTTTTTACCTGTGAATATTAAAGGTAAATTGCAGAAAAGAACAGAGACCTGGCTGAAGGTTAGAAAACAAAAATTCTCATTAGAGGAGTTATGTTGAGGTTTGGGAAGTATTGAGCAAGGTATTCCAGGAATTCACATCAATTATTTGAAAACCGAGATGCAACAGAAATTGTCAAATCTGCACAATTACTAGATAGGACGGGCAATGGAATTGGAAGAGGCAACTCCATTACTGAACAACCTAGAGCCGAGCAAAGAAACGGTAATAAAATTTACTAATGGCTAATTGGAAGAAAAAATGGTGTTAATGAAAGTGAAAAAGGTACCATTACCAAACAGTAAATTATAATTAAGAGTAAGCTGTCAAACTATGCTATACTTGAATGCATGAGACACAAAGAAAACATTCATATGCTGGAAACAGGTCACATAAGAGCTAATGAGGCTGACCCGTGTTTCAAAGTCTGAGTTTTTAGGGAAGAGTGGAGACATATCAGCCTTTCAGTCCTAAAGTGGGTCATTGGATGGTGAATTTAAAGAGATACATAAGATTTTAAAAAAAGCATGAAAAGGTTTTTTTTTAATACAAAAATTGAGAGAATAGACCAAATGAATACAGAGGATTGGTATCTGGACAATTTAACTAGCATTGAGTGACTAACATTTTTCATGGATTTCAGCATAATGGAGGTGGAAACACAGGCATGACTTAAGAAACTGCTGGACCACAATGATTGGACTTTAGACTTTTTCTTATATGTACTAAGTAAGACAAATTAACTGTGCTTTCTTAATCATAATTATCTGGGGAGCAATATGAACTCTTCTCTCTCTCTCATGTTGACCTTCAAGACCAAGAATCAAATAGCCAAAGTACTGAAACGATACCTTCTAGCATTATCTGTTGTGTTCTAAATCTAGAAAATCTAGAAGTAAGTTGCAGTTTTTTTATGTTTTATCTGTCATTCATAGTGCTGAGCAAAAGAAAACTACATATACTGGAAACACAGAAGAGAACACAATTACAGTGAACAAATCCAGCAATGTCCAGCCATGGTCGAAGTATTCTGGTAGGTACAGAAATCTTCTGACTTGTAGGCAAGCAACCATTCTTCCACCAAAACTAGCTGAGTTTGTGACATAGTAAAACTCCTCACCAGCTTTTACCTACACTACTACTTATTGGATTTCAGATGCTGATAGAAGTCAACTACAATAGTCACGCTTGTTACAGAATTTGACGGCCTTCGTTCCGCAGCTAAATTTAAGACTTGACTATTGTCATTCTCTACAGAGAAGTCTTTTCAAGCCCAAAGGAGAATTAAGGGGTAAGGGGATAGATATTAGGTGACAAAGAAGATTGAGGAATGCGGAGCGGTAGATGTTGTCTATATGGACTGCAGCAAAGCTTTTAACAAGGTTTTGCATGGTAGACTGGTAGGTCACATGGAATCCAGGGGGAACTAGCCATTGGATACAAAATTGGCTTGAAGGTAGAAGGCAGAGATTGGTGGTAGAGTGTTGATTTTTGGACTGGAGGTCTGTGACCAGCGGTGTGCCACAAGGATTGATGCTGGATCCACTGCTTTTTGTCATGTATATAAATGATTTGGAAGTGAATATAAGAGATGTGGTTAGTAAGTTTGCAGATGACACCAAAATAGGTTGTGTAGTAGACAGTGAAGAAGATTATCTCAGAGTACAACTGACCTTGATCAGATGGGCCTGTGGGCTGACGAGTGGCAGATGGAGTATAATTTAGATAAATGTGAGATGTTGCATTTTGGTAAGGCAGGACTTACACATTTAATGGTAGGACCCTTGGGAGTATTACTGAACAAAGAGACCTAGGGGTGCTGATTCATAGTTCCTTGAAAGTGGAGAAGCAGATAGACAGGATAATGAGGAAGGCGTTTGGCATGCTTGCCTTCATTTGTTAGAACATTAGGTATATGAATTGGTACATCATGTTCTGGCTGTACAGGACATTGGTGAGGCCACTTTTAGAATACTGTGTATAATTCTGGTCACTCTTCTATAGGAAGGATGTTGTTAAACTTGAGAGGTGCAGAAAAGATATACAAGGTTGCGATGGATTGAACGGTTTGGAGAGGCTGAACATGCTGGGGCTTTTTCCCTGGAGTGTCAGACACTAAGGGGTGACCTTATAGAGGCTTATAAAATCACCAGGGGCACGGATAGGGTGAATAACCAAATTCTTTTTCCTAGGGTGGGAACTTCAGAACTAGCAGGCATCGGTTTAAGGTGACTTGATGTGCTGAATGACAAACTCGACTCCTATGTTTTATGGAACTACTATTATTTACATGCTGATACAAACTTTTTGGCTTTCCTTTTATGCTAACCTGCAACTTATACTCATGTTCTGTCCCTGCCAGTTTATTGGTCAAAGAATTCACCTAACATGCATCACACACTCTTGATATTTTTGATTCATGATATTCTGTTTCATTTTATTGTCCAAGGACCCCTGGCTGTGGTTAATTTATCTTTGGCCCTCGTTGGAATGTACCCAGCCTGTGTCTTGTATTTTTCGCCCCTAATTTTAATTGTCCCCACAAGTTCAAATATCAAGGGGAAACATCAAACCGTATTACATTCTTACAGGCGTCTGTCATTTTTCTCTTTTTCGAGCAAAGAACTTCAGACTGTTCAAAAGTTCTTGATAAATATAAACTCTCTGTTTTGGTATTTTCTTCAATTATTTAAGTTACGAATCAATGTTGTATGATGTGCAAGTTACTCAAACAAGTCAAGATGACCTAGAGTACTGAGACAAGACAAATTCAATCAACTCTAACTAAACAGCAGGTGTGGCAGCTTCTTTGGAGAGAGAAAAATAGACAATGTTTCTGCTTAATGAACTCCTGTGAAAATGTTTGACAGAAGGATCATAGACCTGAAGCATCAACTGTTTTGATCTTCATAGAAGCTGCCACATCGACTGAGTATTTTCAGCAATATTTTGTTTTCATTTCAGTTTTCCAATATCTCCAGTATTTTGCTTTTCAATCAACTTTGTTTGGCTATATTGAGTTCTTGGGTTCTATTGCAGAATTAAAGAATTTGACCTCCATCTACAAAGAATTGGTGGCGAGTGATGGAGTAGTTATTTTGTTCTGACTCAAGAAAGTTTAACATAGGTACTAATAGGAGAGAAAGCACTGGAAATAAAGAAATTCTGCGTTTAGTTGGGTGTCGTCTCACTTTGGTATTTTGAGAGTGATGGGTTCAAACTACATGACAATCCTGCACACATAATTTAGGCTAATACTTCAGTTCAGAAATGAGAGATCATTGCACTGTTGGACTTAACCTCTTATTCCAAAAGATCGTATGTGTTTCCTCTCTATTCAGGTGGATGTAAAAGATTTGTCGCACAATTTGAATAGGACCAGGGAGTAATGCTGAAATCTTAGTAATATTATGTGAAGACTCTCACTTTCAGAAATTCTTGAGAATTTTGGTAAAATTCCTAGTCCATATTAAATCTACATCATCATATAGGACATAACAAACGTAAGAAATAAAAGCAAGAATAGGCTGCGTGGTCCCTCAAGCTTGTTCTGACGTTCAAACGGATCATGACTGATCTTTAACCTCAACTCCATTTTCCACTGAGTTACTGTGCCATCCCAAAACCTCTTCAAAAAATCGCAATCAAGTTAGTGTGAAATGATTTCCCATGCACAAACCCATGTTGACCATCTCTAATCAGTCCTTGCCTTTCAAAATGCATGTAAATCCTGTCCCTCAGAATCCCCTTCAGCAACTTACCTACCACTGACATAAGGCTCTATAGTTCCCTGCCTTTTCCTTACAGCCTTTCTTAAATAATGGCACCACATTCCTTTTAAAAAGTCACACCGCTGAATATTTAGTTCCCAGCTTTGATCTCCTTGCAACCATATCACCATAATGGCTGTAAGAGTATATCCATTAACTTGTATTTGTGCAGTTAATTCATTTATTTTGTTCTGAATACTACAGACATTCAAGTAAAGAGCCATTAATTTTGTCTTTTTACGATTGTTTCCCTTTTTGATCCTATATACTTTCACCTGGAAACTGGTCCCAGCATGGTTCCAGTGAAGACCATCTCATCAGAACAGCTTCTACCTCAGTACTGGTGCCAGTGCCCCATGAACTGAAAGCCATTCACCTATGCGAACCTTTGAGACATGCCTTTATCTAGCCCATGGCTCAGGTTGTAATCCAGAGATTATTATCTTGGAGGTTCTGCTTTCTAATTTAGCTTGTAGCTGTTCAAAGTATTTCAGGAGACAGATAGAGGCCTACTGGGCACAAAGGATGAGGTATGCTTAGAGGCACAGGGCAAGGTTAGAATATTTAATGAATAACTTGATATCGATATTTACCAAGGAAAAGGGTGCTATCAAAGTATGAGCAAAAATGGAGATCAAGTGTGACTTGCTATAGAGTACTGGAGTTACAGGAAGGAAGGGAAAAAGATATTCTGTTGCTTTTGCTTTTCCTAAACTTTTTCAGTCTCAGAAATTGATTCTTACCCTATTGCAGAAAAAGAAGCTGGTTATTAGGTGAGTATCTGGTAAGTGGTTAAGGTTTATTCTATTCCTAACGTTCAGCATAGTATATGTGGCAACAGGTGGTAAGGTTAATAAAATATATAAATACATAACTAAATATAAAATTGAATAAAATAAATAAGTGATTAATTAGAACACATGAGGGATGGCAGAACAAGTATTGGTCACAGTTGCAGTATGTGGGAGTTCCTACCAGTTTGGTCCAAAGCAAACATGTCTGCAGCAGCATTTGAAGTGTGAGCTGCTATAGCTCAGAGTTTATGAGCTGGGGGATGAGCTACATACTGTGATGCATCATGGAGGGGGAAGCTACCTAGAAAATTTGTACCAGGAGGCAGTCACATCTATTAGGATTAAGTCATCTGAATTGGTCAGCAGTGTTCAGGGAAAGGAGAGTGTTGTAAGGGGAGACAGGTAAAGGGACTCAGAGGGCAGGACTGCAGACACCTCAGTCTTTACAATTGTCCAGCAGGTTTGAGGTTTCTCTCTGTGTATATGGATCAGAGTGAGGGCTGCAGGGTGGATGACCTAACTGGCCATGACAGTGTGGTGGAGGAAGCCATTCAAGAGTTGGGTATTGAAGTAAATGTATTGGTAGTACGGAATAATATAATTAGAGGGATAGACATTGTTCTCTACATCAAAGAAAATGAGTCCAAATGGCTATGTTGCCAGGTTTCGGGACATCTAGTCAGGTATTCTTGCCAACCAGGAGGGAAGCAGAAAATTTAAAGCTAAATAAAGGGATCAAATTTTTGAAGATGTGGTAAATAAGAGTAGAGTCAAGGCCAAAGCGAAAGTTATGCAGGAAATGATAACATATCAAGGTGGGAAGGGATAAAGAGAGTACGAAGGTGAGAGTCAACCAATAGAGAAGACTAGAGTTTACAAAGATATTAAAAGGATAAAACTAAACATATCTGCATGCACAAATAATTCAAAACAAAATAGATAAACTGGGAGCACAACTAGAAATGAGTAAGCTTGGTAGCCATTACAGAGACAGGTCTGAGTTTGAGTTTGATTTATTCTTGTCACATGTACTGAGATACAGTGAAAAGTGTTTTGTGTACTGCAGATCGTTCCACGCAAAATGCATCAAGGTAGCAGAACAGAGTGCAGAATACAGTGTCACAGCCACAGAGAAGGTACAGGGAGAGAGAGATTGGAATTAACATTTGAGAGGTCCATTCAGGCTAAGTTGGATTGAGACCTGAATCTTGAAGAATATAAGATATTTAGGAAGAACAGGAAACTAGGAAAAGGTGGAGGGAAGGTGGGTCACCATAATTTAGGAAGGATGTGAGGTACCTTGACAGGTTGCTAAGGAAATTTACTGGAATATTTCCAGGGAAAAAGGATTTTTAGCTCCAAGGTTAGGTTGGAGAAGCTAAGCTTGTTCAAATGCAAGCAAAGACTCTGAAGTCATTTGATAGAGATGTACAATATTATTATGGGTTTACATAAGCTGAACAAAGAAAGACTGCTCCTCATACAATGATTACAGACAGAGTTAAGGTTTTGGGCAAGAGATGCAGGGAGATTGTAGATGAGAAGGACCTTTTCTACCCAGTGATTGGTAATGACCTTGGACTCACTGCCTATAAGCAGGTAGTAAAACCAGAGGCAATCAATGATTTTAACAGGAAATTGGGTGGGCATTTAAGGGAAATGAACATGCAGGACCATGGGACTAAAGCAGGAAATAAGACTAACTGGATTGGTTTGAATAGAACTGTCATGAACTTGATGAACCAGATGGCTTCCTTCTGGATTACAGTGACTCTCTGACTCTTGTAACTCCAAAAACGAATACAGAAGGAACTCTCCACTTATGGAATACCATGTATAATTCTGGTCGCCCTTTTACAGGAACGATGTTTCTAAACTTAAGAGCATGCAGAAAAGATTTATAAGGATGTTGCCAGGACTGGAGGGTTTGAGTTATAGGGAGAGGCTGAATAAACTGGGGCTTTTTCCTTGGACTATTGGGTTGACCTTTGTAGAAGTTTATAAAATCATGAGGGGCATGGATTGGGTGAATAGGCAAGATCTTTTTTCTACAATAAAGACTTGAGGTACATAATTTGGATTTATGGAGAAGCTTAGATAAGTACATGACAGAAGTAAGTACATGAAAGGAATAGAAGAATACATTGATACAGTTAGGTGAAGAGGAATGGAAGGACCATCACAGTGTGCAGTAATATCTGAACAGACCTTTTTTAGTCTGTGTATTCCATATATTTTGTGGCAGAATACCTCAAAGACAATGAGCATAGTGATGAAGACGAAGAAGAAGCAGAACTTTTAAAGAAATCCAAAATCTCGCCCACTCGATTGTCATTATGTAAGTACTCCTGCTCTTCAATCACATCCTAATTTCCACTTCCTTCTTAAACAATTTCTTTCCCCTTTTATTACTGAATATTGGTCTCTCATTCTCTCCCAAAGATACTGACTCTTTATTAGTCTTTCATTTCACAGTCACTGTGTCCATTGGTAAAGAAGGCAAGTACTTGGTAAATGAGGCAAGATGCTTGGTAAAGAGATTTCTAAATGTCACCATCCAGACTTCCACAGCTAAGAAGTCAAACAGTCAAAGAATTGCTAAACCTGGCTTTTTACGCTTGTGCAGGAATGTTTAAGGCATTTATGAGAAATCAGGATCTCAGAGATTTCCATTACCAATGCTAGACATACCACATAGAACTGCTGCCTGGCCGGGATCATTGCCACAGATTTTGCAATACAGACATTGAAACTATCTGGGCTTATCTCTGGGTTTGATGTTTGGAAACATTTGGTGCTCCAGTACAAAGATTTCACCCACTCACAGGATCCCAGAGTATGTTCTATGTCAACAGGCCTTCTCTTAAAATATAGGTGGCAAAATATTTGGCTCACTTGGTCCACTCCCAACTCCAATCCAACAACCTCATCATGGTATTACGACCTCATAAAAGGATTGAGAACAAGAGGTCATGAGAGGTCAAAGAGGAAAGAAATTGTAAAAGGCAAAACTAATGACTCTTAAGTGCTTGAGGTATTTGGAATAAAATATATGAGTTAGTGGCACAGTGGAAGTTAATGGATGTGATCTTGTAGCCATTACAGAGACATGGTTACAAGGTGATCAAAGCTGAGAACTAAATATTCAGGGGTTTGTGACATTTTGAAAGGACCGACAGCAAGCAAAGGGTGGTGGGGTAGCTTGTTGGTATGAGACAGAATAACATAGCAAGAAATTATCTTGGATCTGAAGATCTATTGCAGCTGTTCAGAACATTGGTGAGGCCACTTTTGGATTACCGCATACAATTCTGGTTGCTCTTTTACAGGAAGGATGTTGTTAAACTTGACAGCATGCAGAAAAGATTTACAAGGATGTTGCCGGGACTGGAGGGTTTGAGTCATAGGAGAGACTGAATAGACTTGGGCTTTTTCCCTGGAGTTTTGGAGACTGAGGGTTGACCTTTATAGAAGTTTATAAAATCATGAGGGGCGTGGATTGGGTGAATAGCCAAGATCTTTTTTCTAGGGTGGGGAAGTCCACAACTAGAGGGCATACATTTCAGATGAGAGGGGAAAGATATAAAAATGACCTGAAAGGTAACTTTTTCATGGAGAGGGTGGTGCGTGTGTGGAATAAGCTGCTGGAGGAAATGGTGGAGGCAGGTACAATTACAACATTTGAAAAGCGTCTGGATGGGTATATGAATAGGATGGTTTACAGGGATATGGGCCAAATGCTGCTAAACGGGACCAGGTCAGATTGGGATGTCTGGTCGGCACGAATGAGTCGGACCAAAGATCTGTTTCTGTGCTGTCCGACCCTATATAGAATCTGTATAGGTGGAGATAAGAAATAACAAGGGGGAATGCCATCTAGAGGAGTAGTATGTCGACCCCCTAAAAGTGGTTATACTGTTGGAAAAAGAATAAGTCAGAAGATAATGAGGGCATGTAAAAAAGGCAGTACGTTAATCATGGATAACTTTAATCATGTAGTTTGGAGAAGAAAAATTGTCAGAGGTACCCATGAGGAAGAATTTATAGAGAGTATTCAAAATAGCTTCCTAGAACAATATGTTGTAGATCCAACCAGGGATCAGGCTTTTTGGATCTGGTGATGTCTAATAATGCCAATTTAATCAATGATATTAAACAAAAGATCTCCTAGAAAACAGTGACCGTAATATGACAGAATTTAGCATACAGTTTGAGAAACAACTTAACTAAGCTTAAATAAGGGTAATTACAAAGGAATGAGGGCAGAGTTGGCCGGAGTGCACTGGGAAAGGAGCATGGCAGAAAAGACAGTTAATGAACAATGACAGACGTTTAAGAAAGAAGTTCATAATTCTCACAACAAATTATATCCTAGAAAGGGAGAAGGATATTGGGAAGGGGATAAACCAACCATGCTTAACCAAGAAAGTTAAGGACAGTATAGAATTTTAAAAAATACAAGATGGCAAAGATTAGTGGTAAGCCAGGGGATCAAAGTTTTGAAGACCAAGAAAAGATGATCAGAAAAAATTAAGAGGGAAAAAATAAACTTTGATGGTAAACAAGGAAGTGGTATGAAAATTGACAGTAAGGGATATTTTTAAATATATAAGGATACGACAGGTTAAAGTAAACAGAAGACTTTTAGAGAATGTGGTTGAAGAAACCATAATGGGGAACCAGGAAATAGCTGAGGAGTTGAATAATTGTTTTGGATCAGTCTTCACAATAGAAGATGCTGATAGCATCCCAAAATTACTGAATAATCAAGGGGCAAAAGGGGAGAGAAAATAACTATAATAACTATCACTAGAAATAAAGTATTTGAGAAACTGATGAGCTAAAGGCTCATAGGTCCCTTGTATCTGACAGGTTACATCCTAGGATTTCAAAGGAAGTAGCTACAGAGGTAGTGGATGCGCTGGTAGTAATCTTCCAAGAATCCTTAGATTCTGGATAAGTTCCAGAGGACTGGAAAACTGCCATGTAACACCCTTTTCAAAAAGGGAAAAAGACAAGAAAAAGGTAACTGTAGGCCGGTTGGCTTAACTTGTGTTAACTAAAATGTTACAGCATGTTTCAAGGGTGTAATAGCAGAGCATTTAGAAATGTAACTTATAATCAAGCAGAGCCAGCATTGCTTCGTGAAAGGGAAATTGTGTCTGACAAATTTATCAGGATTCTTTGAGTAAGTAGCATGTAGGATAGATAAATGGAACCAGTAGATAGAATACGTTTGAATTTACAAAGGTGGTACAATAAGGTACTGCACATTAGGCTATTTAATAAGATAAGAGCTCATGGTTTGAGTAGAATATATTAGCACAGTTAGAAAATCAGCGAACAAATAGAAGCCAAGTTGGAATAAAGGTGTTATTTTCAGGATGGCAACCTGCAAAGAATGCAGTGCCACAGGAATCAGTGCTGGGGCCACAGTTATTTACAATATATATGAATGACTTGGATGACAGTTCACTGATGACATAAAAATAGATGGAAGGGCAAGTAATGAGAATAGCACAAGAGGTCTACCAAGGGAAAAAGACAGGTTAAGTGGATGGACAAAAACTTTGTACACAGAAAATAATGTTGGAAAATTGGAGGTTATGCACTTTGGCAGGAGGAATAAATAAGCTGAATATTATTTAAAAGAGAAAACCTGTAGAAAGCTGAAGCATAAAGGGATTTGGGTATCTTCATGTGTGAAGCAGAAAAAGCTAGCATCCCAGTTCAGCAGATAATAGGGAAGGCAAATGGAATATTGGCCTTTATTTAAAAAGGAAGGTAGTACAAAAATAGGGAAGTATTTCTAAAAATAAATAAAGGAATTAATTAGATCACACCAAGAATGTCATGAATAGTTTCGTTCCCTTACGTAAGAGAAGATATAGGAGTAAAAGAGGAAGTCCAGAAAAGCATCACTATATTGATTCTGGGCATAGTAGGATTGTCATATGAGCGGAGGTTCAGGTTAGGCATGTACCCATTGGAATTTAGAAGAATGAGAGGTGACGTTATCGAAACGTATAATTCATATCACCAGCCACCAACTTATTCCAGAGGCCTGCCGTTTCAAGGAAAATAACCTGAAGATTGGTACATCTGATCTTTTCTATACTCTTAGAATGTTTAAATAAAGTGCTTGACATCAAACAACATAACTTGGCTTTCTCCATTTCTAGCAAGATCCAGACGAAACCTGCCTCAGACATCAAGAGAATTGGAATCAGAGGATTCTGATGTAATTGTTGCTTCGGCATCACGGTCACGAAACCATCAGGACTCCAACTTCTAAAGGCAACTCATTGTGCTTCAGGGGTCTGACAATCATTCTGAATGTTTGGAGGTGGATGGCGAGTTAAGCAGTCAATAAGGGAGTTTGTAGCTTTATAGGGCTGCAGAAATCATGGTGTATGGAGTGGACTGATTGTTAAAGAAAGCTTAATCCTATTTTTATAAAACAAAATCTAAAACCAATGATTGATTTCATAAAGAGAAAATTCAGGAAATAATCAGATAAAGCATCTTGTGTGAAGAGAAAATCAGAATTTATGGACTAAAATTTGACAAAATGTTTGCACCTTAATGTTGTTACAATATGTGGGTCCAGACCAAGGGTATGCCCACAGTGAGCCTGCTGGAGCAATTTTACGTAGGTAACTTTCTAATTGGTGATCTTTATATATAGCCATCTAATTCATGACCATGACAGGTCATAGTAGGGTTTGCAGCAAAGTGCAAACAACAACACCACCAAGGCAGCTGAGCACTACTGGAAAGAAGGGAAACTTTTAGAGACTACCTCAGAATAGAGATGCTCAAAAATATCTCCCTCCTAAAGAAAAGATGGCAAGTGTTGTGAGGGCCCCCAGGATGAATGAAAGAGTGTACATAGCTACTGTGGGACTCCTGTGAGCATCACAGGCCCCTTATGCTGCCAAGAAGCTTGCTCCTGACACAGCGGAATACCTGTTTGCTGGTAAGCCCTGGGAGAATAGCAGTAGAATGATCTGTCATCAGGACCTTAATTGCCTTCATTGCCTGCTCACCTTCGTGGAGGGAGTTGCCAATTCCTGTGGCAACTCACCCCTGGGAAAGTTGCCGAGAGATTAAGAGGCATCACATAGCCATCCTGACAGGATTTCCTGTCGTGTTCATAAAATTCCCATTTCCGAAACGCATCTTCAAGGGGCTGAGAAAACTCAACTTAACATTTGAGGCCTGTGATTTTTTTAACCAAATTTCACAAAGAGTCTTGGATCTGAAATTGTTAACTCTGGTTCTCTCTCCAAGGTATGCTACCTGACCTGCTGAGGGTTTCCAGCATTTTCTCTCTTTAGATTTACAAGCACTACAATATTTTGCCTTTGTTTTATTGATTTAATGAGATTGTTTTCCATTGCTACCCATAGTCTGGAAACTCCCCCTTGTAATGGAAATAGGCTGATTCTCCAGCACTGAACTTTTAACACAATATTGCATCACTTCAGCTTGAACAGAAGCAACTCTACAGTATGAACACAGCAATAAAAGTTGCAGTTCACACCATGTACCAGCAGTTTTCCATGGAGTCCAACATAGGTAAATATTTAAGGTCTTTGATAAAAGTGTTGTAGCTGGAATCTCTCAGGATATTGCACCAATCCTTGCACATGCCTACCATAACACCTACCAAATGACCATAGCTCTGTTGCACTATTTAGCTCTAACTAAAATCCTGCTCCTTTAGTCTTCAATAACACACGTAATTCTTTGCCGACCCCAGGTCTATGATTACATATATTTGTAATTATTGATTACCTTGTTGTTTCCAGAAACAACTCTTTAAGTAAAGGCAGAACATTAAATGTTCAGAGAAGACTTATCCAGCTTCTGAAAGATTGAACCATATTGTACAGTTACCAAATCCAGTTGCCTGTTACTAGTCAGGATTGTGCGTAAGATGCTTGCCTTTCCTATCTCCAGATGAATCTGCCTGCATGTATTCTCAAATTGCTTTGAAACTATTTCCAAAAGCCAAGTAGGTACTAGCGTCTACTGTTTCAGCCAATCATCTCCATTCTGGTCAGAACTTGTAATGTTAAATAAGTAACCTTATTTAAGTAGAAAAGCTACAAACTACATAAAATATAACTGATGGGTGAAACTTCTCTCAAGTTTCTCCAGTGAAATGCAGTCAGTGCAATATGGTAACACCATCCAAATATGTAAATTAATTCCCAGGTAATTCCAGATGTGTGGACTCTGGGTGTAATTGTTTGGGGAATTACCTAATAATCTCCATGCTGTCACGATGATTTGGTGGTGGGAAAGTCATTCGGTTGTGTGTGATAACACTTCTTGATATATATTTTAAAAACAACAAGCTAGGGCCCTTGTGGTACAATGGTATTGTCCCTCTGAGCCAGAAAGCCTGGGTTCAAGTCCCATCTGCTCCAGAGGTGTCTCATAACAACTCTAGATAAGTCAATTAAAAATATCAATAATCTCCATGCTGATTAGGAATAATGTGGTCACTATATGCAGCCTTTGAAATAATTCGAAGACTTAGTTCATAAATTCTAATCTGCCCATCTTCAACAAAGTCAGGATATTATTTGGAGAAGTGGCATCTGATTTGGAACTTCATGAGCTTGATACAGATACACATCGCTAGGAAATATCATTTAACAGTAACATGCAATGCAACAGTGTGGCAGAACACATACCTGTTCTGATGTAAGCCACATTGAACATAGGCACTAGCTAGCTCCCTGCATAGAGGAATGTGAAACATTAAACTGCAATGCCATGCTGGATGGGTACTTAACACTTCAATGGTAACCAAAATGACTATTGAAGGATAGATGTACTGGATTTAGAAATGTGCTGGAGAGAAAGTAGGTTATATGCCAGTCATTCAAGGGTAAATATGTTTGATATAAAGAATTTACTGTCTTTCTTAGTGATGAGCCTGATGCAGTTCTTTTGTTTTGGAAATTGGTGTGCTTTTTGTATCTTCCATTCATGCTTGTCTGTCCCTGGTAGGTCTGGAAGTTATTGTCCATTCCTAATTTCACTTGAGATGATGATTGGTTGTTATCTTGAACATCTGCAGTCTGTGTGGTGGAGGTACCTTCACAATGCTGTTATATAGCAATTCTAGGATTTTGATGTCCCAACAATGAAGTAGCCATATCTGTCCCAAGAGGACAGAGGATCTTGTAGGTAATGAGTTCTGAAAAACATTAAATTCTGTTTCACTCTCCACAGATCTTATCAGACCTGCTGAGTTTCTCTAGTCTTTTCTGTGTTCGTTTCAGATTTTCAGCATCCACATTAGTTTACTTTTATTAATGATAATGGATCAATGCATCTGAAATAATTCAACAGAGGCCAGTATCCCTTCACCAAGTCACCCTTTATTTACATGTGGAGAGTCCTTGACACTGATCCAGCTCCCTCAGCGTCAGCTCTCCGGGTGAACACAATGTCTGACACTCCTGTTCTTATCTGTCAGCCAGGGCTGCCTGATTGGACCAGATTAACAGCCCCATTCAAGGAACTCCTATTCTGTGATGTCTACCTGGCTGACCTCGTTACAATCACTACAGTATCTTCTGCCCATTTTCTCTAATTAGTGGAGGTCATGGTTTGGGAAGTGCTGCAAAGAAACCTGGGTTAGTTTTTGCACTACCTCTTTTACACAGCAGAGGATCAAACCTCATGAATTGTAGGTGGAGGAATGTTTGCAGTGATAGGCTGTTATTCAAGCCAATAGCCTTTTTTATCATTGAACATTTTGAGCATTATTGGAGCTGCAACCATCCAGGCAAGTTAAGAGTATCCCACCATATTCCTAACTTATATCATGTAGGAGGTGGAAGAGCTTTGATAGTGTGGAAAGACTGTTTTGAGGGGATCTGCAATGAGAAAAATGGGTTTACGTTAATGCACCTTATGGACAATATCCTACTTGAATGTTTTATTCTGTTTTGTAATCACCTGTGCCTTGTGATTTATGTGAGAGGATATATTTACGACATTTTCAGACTTGTCATTATGAAAATTATGTATAGTTTGTGTAGTATTTTGTAACATACAATTTATTTTTAATTTTTATTATATTTAGAAACTTGAAATAAACTGTTCATATTTTAACAATTTTTCCAATGTGAAGGATTTCATTGTACATACTTATTGAGTATTCAGACTAAATCTAATCTAAGTGACCTTTGAGGATGGCTAAATTGACTAGTCCCCAACTGAACGTTGGAATTATGAAATATGGTTAACCCCATTGGTTGCAATGCAATCAACACATCAGCTGTGACCAACCTACATTAACAGTGCTGTTTATCAGCAGGGGACCAATGTCCTGAGTGTGTAGCAGTACATAAAGCTAGCCTGCACCTCCTAAAGAAAAAGATGGCATTGCAAGCAGGGAGCAAGTCAAGGCAATGCCACTCCATGACAGGAACACTTAAAAAGATGCACAGTTGGGATGGCATTCATCTATTGGCACACAGATGCCATTGAGTAGGCAGAATTAGCAGAGCAATTATGCACTTGGTCAACTGAGGGAGTTTTAACTCTCCAGTGATTATGGGAAGGGGTTAGAGTAAACATTATGAGTGTAGCTCATTGCGGGCAAGGCAGCAGTTTGACATGGGATTAAAGTACCTTGTTCAATTACAGAGGGATGAGTAGCAATGAGGATCAACACCCACAGGAACAGATGCAGAACTTTGCTTCGGGCAAGGTAGGGAACAAAGAGCATGAAGTAATGAACGCCATACTTTCAGCATTGACTGTACTTCCAAAGAAGAAACTACATGAACATATCAGAGAGTTAGCAGTGCAGGAGACTGCTCCCATCTAAGCAGATGGTAACAACGATTAATGCCCTTGTTCAGGAAGATCTCAGAAAACAGATAACTATGGTCTTGAATTTATTTACTTCTGGCTTGTTCCAAAAACCTACTCTCAAAGAGTAGGATACTACTGCATTATGCAAGGCACTGATGTCCTACTTGTGAAAACTGGGCACCACAGGTAAAAATGATTTCCAATAGGCATGACCATGCAGGCTTATGCTGTGGTCTTCATAGAATCATAGAATCCCTAAAGCAACAACCTAGTGGTATTATTGCTAGACTATTAATCCAGAAACTCAGCTCAAGTTCTCAGGACCCAGGTTTGAATCCCACACAGCAGATGGTGTAATTTGAATTCAATAAAAAAAACTAATTAAAAATCTACTGGAGACCATTGTCGATTGTTGGAAGACTCATCTGACTCACTAATGTCCTACAGGGAAGAAAGTCTGCCATAATCACCTGTCTGGCCCACATGTGACTCCAGACCCACAGCAGTGTGGTTGACTCTTAACTGCCCTCTGAAATGGCCTAGCAAGCCATTGCAACAAAGTCTCAACAAAGAAATGAAATTGGACAGACCACCCAGCATTGACCTAGGCACTGGAAACTACAACGGCAGAAACAGCCTGTTGATCCTACAAAGTCCTCCTCACTAATGTCTGGGGGCTACTGCCAAAATTGAGACAGCTGTCTCTCAGACTAGTCAAGCAACAGCCTGACATAGTCATACTTACAGAATCATATGTCACGGAATCACTCAATGTCCTAGAGACCATCATCACCATTCCTGGATATGCCCTGTCCCACCAGCAAGACAAACCTGGCAGAGGTGGCAGCACACAGTGGTATACAGTCGTTAGGGAGTTACACTCAGAGTTATTAACATTGACTCCAGACCCCATGAAATCTCATTGGTTCAGATTAAACCTCCTGTTGATTACCTCGTACCTTCCTCCCTCAGCTGATGAATCAGTTTTCGTCCATGTTGAACAACACTTAGAGGATGCACTGAGGGTAGCAAGAGTGCAAAATGTACTCTAGGTGGGGGGTTTCAATGTCCACCACCAACAGTGGCTGAGCAGCAGCACGACTGATCAAGCTTGTCAGGTCCTAAAGGACACAGCTGCTAGACTGGGTCTGCACCAGGTGGTGAGAGAACCAACAAGAGGAAAAAACATACTTGACCTCATTCGTACCATTCTGCTGGCTGCAGATGCATCTGTCGAGGAACAGTATCGATAAGAGCAATCACCGCACAGTCTTTGTCAAGACGAAGTCCCGCATTCACTTTGAGAATACCTTCCATCATGTTATGTGGCACTATCACCGTGCTAAATGGGACAGACTTCAAAAAGATCTAGCAACTCACATCTGGGCATCCATTAGGTGCTGTGGGCCATTCACAGTAGCAGAATTATACTCCAGCACGATCGGTAACCTCATGGCCCAGCATATATCCCACTCAACCATTGCCATCAACCCTGGTTCAATGGAGAATGCAGGAAGGCATACCTGAAAATGAACTGTCAACCTGGTGATGCTACCAAAAATCCTAAGCAGCAGGTGATAGACAGAGCCAAGTGATTCCACAACCAATGGATCAGATCCAAGCTCTGTAGTCCTGCCACATCCAATCTTGATTGGTGGTGGACAAGTAAACAACTCATTCCAGGAGGAGGCTCCCCAAATAGCCCCATCCTCAATGACACACAAGTACAAAAGATAAGGTTGAAGCATTTGCAACAATCTTCACCCAGAAGTGCTATGTGCAAGAACTGTCTCAGCCTCCTCCAGTGGTTCCCAGCTTCACAAATACCAGTCTTTAGCCAATTCAGTTCACTCCGCGTAATATCAAGAAACAGTTGGAGGCACTGGATACTATAAAGGTTATGGGCCCTGACAACATTCCAGCAATAGTCATGAAGTCTTGCATTCCAGAATATTCTGCTGCCCTAGCCAAGCTGTTCCAGTATAGTTATAGCACTGGTATCTCACAACAATATGGAAAATTGTCCAAGTATGTCCTGTACAAAAAAATAGGGCAAATCCAACCCAACCAATTACCGCCCCATCAGTCTACTGTCAGTCACCAGTGAAGTAATGGATGGTTTCATCAACAGCACTATCAAACAGTACCTGCTCAGCAATACCTGCTCACTGACGCCCAGTTTGGGTTCCGCCAGGGCCATTCAACTCCTGACCTCATTACAGCCTTGGTTCAAACATAGAAAAAGCAGCTGAATTCCAGAAGTGAGGTGAGAGTGACAGATCTTGACATCAATGCTGCATTCAATGAAATGTGGCATCAAGAAGCCTTGGCAAAACTGGAATCAATGTGATTGGGGGCAAACTCTCCATTGGGCTGAAAAGTAGCAAGTAACATTTGTGCCACACAAATGCCAGGCAATGGCCATCTCCAAGAAGACACAATCTAATCACTGGCCCTTGACATTCAATGGTGTTACCATCACTGAATCTCCCACTGTTAACATCTTTGGGGTTACCATTGAACAGAAACTCAACTGGACTCATCACATAAACACAGTGGCTACAAAAGCAGGTCAGAGGCTGTGAATACTGTGGTGGGTAACTTACCTCTGACTCCCCAGAGGCTGTCCACCATCTACTAGGCACAAGTTAGGAGTTTGATGGAATATTCCCCACTTGCCTGGATGAGTGCAGCCCTGACAACACTCAAGAAGCTTGACACCATCCAGGACAAAACAGCTCCCCTTGATTGGCACCACGTCTCAAGCATCCACTCTGACCACCACCAAAGCTCAGAAGCAGCAATGTGTACCATCTAAGATGCAATGCAGAAATTCACTAAAGATCCTTAGATATCATCTTCCAAACTCATGATCATTTCCAACTAAAAGGACAAGGGCAGCAGATACATGGGAACATCACAACCCGCACATAGACACTCAGCATCCTGACTCGGAAATATACCACCATTCCTTCATTGTCTCTGAGTCAAAATCCTGGAATTCCCTCCCTAAGAGCATTGTGGATTAACCCACAGCATGTGGGCTGCAGAGATTTAAGGAGCAGCTCACCACCACTTTCTTAAGGGCAATTAGGGAAAGATAATAAACATGCTGGCCAGCCAGCCATATCCACATCCAACAAGTGAATAGAAAAAGTCATCTGTGTTCTCATTTGAAACCATTCCTTTCCCATCTCTTGCATCTTTTCCAGTTTCTCCATTAAAGAAGGTTACACACCTTGCATCATGGCTGAACATCTCCACTGACCAATATATATTATCACAAATGGAAGTCACTGAAATGAACCACTCAGTGCAATGAACAATGCAGTGAACTTCACGCTCAGATACTCATGGCACTCCCTTTGTGGCCTTACATAAAGTGGAGGTAAACTATTCTCCAGTGTCTGCTTGCAGCCACGTTACACTGGGTGCCATCCCCTTTGTGAAGATGGTGCTGGCTCACATTCAGAGAAGACTGCATCAGAGTCAATGTGCAAACAGACTCCCACAGTGCCCTGCTGCATAGATCTTCTCTCAGTCAGAGGAGTCAAGATAGTCAATGATGTTGCTGGTGCCCCATGAGAGGTCACATCCTCATTCCCATTGGTGAGTGCCTCAGTCCTTTAATAATATTCCACTTCACTAGAGAGGGCCATCTGCTGAGGCACAACTGGCATCCATTCGATGTTGAGCAATCCTTGCAAATGTTAAATGGTGAGCGAGGACATTCCTGTGCAAGACCTCTCCCTGGGTTTCTACACTCTCCTCCTGAAAGTACAAAAGAGAGTGTTAGTGTTTTGAAATGTGCTGACGGGCAGTAATTATCCAGGTGACCTTTCTTTCACATTTAGGAAAAATCATGTGCCTTAAGTCTCCTCAGCTGATGTTGCTGCCACAGTTGGAGGTCTGTCATCTGTTTGTTGCATTCCCCTCTCCTTGCCAGAATTAATGTCTTGAATCTTTTATAGCATTGCAACCAGGTCCTCTTCATGACATTTTTTCTGCCTGAGTGCTCTGCCACCTCCACCAAGGTCTGCTTGATTTGACTGAATGGCCTACTCCTGCCACTCACCAGGTTCAAAACACCTTGCCTTTCTTACATCATCTCTGGCATCACCTCAAGAACATCATCAATAAGCCTGAGGCTACCCTGTCATACATGCCTGGCCTCTGCCTTTCCTGCTTCAATTCTCTCTGCCAGCATCACTTTAATTCAGAACAATACTTCCAGCTTTCCATCTCCATCCATGCCTTCCGCCTCTAATTTGATTCCAAACCCACCACTGGGACCA